TCCTCGAGAGCCTGACGAAGCTGATCTTCGGTATATTGAGGCATTATATATAGAAGAAGACATGTGCAAAAGATGAGCCCATTTGGACGCGAATTGAAAATGTTGTGATAAAAGGAGGTTGGGGGTGGGCATTGGGTTGTGGTGGATTTTCGCGTTTTTGTGGGTGCCAGAAACAGGGGGGTGCCAGGAAGTGGGTATGTTGACTTAGCTTCAATGGCCCTTCCCAGTCCTGGCGTTGATTGATTTGAGTCATTGTATGCGAACAAGGCTGAGCAACAATTTATTGTGCGAAATCGGTGTCCAAAAGTTGAAGGGAGAATTGGTATTTCCTGCGTATAAATCCGAATGGAAATACTGCATGGCTTGGTGCGGGGTTCGTTTGCGTACTGGTTTGCAGAGGAACTCGATCTGGATAAATGGCTGCCAAATAGCGTGAGAAGAAGAGAATCCAATGCAACAGTGAGTAGCATTCTCTCAAATTAGTTGCTTAACTTGATAAGAGGAAAGCCATGACTGCAATTGCTTAGGAGGCCCCGTTGATTAAGTCCTATCAGATAGCTTTAGGTTCCGTGATACAACACGTTACGTCCGTGGTCGTAAACTTTGCAGGAGCGAAAGTCGAAAAGGCATCGGAAAATCTGGAGGCGCTGATTTTATTGACACAGTGGAATTATTCTTATGCACCGTCTTTCTAATACTGTAGTAGATCTTCTGACTTTTGCCTTGTGCCCGACCTCAGCAATCAAGTAGAGATTCAAAGATAAACACCAATTCGACAAGTCCCGCGCATGCAGTGAGATGGTACGACAGCTCCGCCTGACTACGAGGATGGAAGCGGAACGGCACAAGTCCAAGCTACCATGCGGGCTTCCGGTTAATTTGGTATGTGAGCATGGACTGATCGATACAGGCATGTGAACGCTGATGGCTGGTTGGTTAAGGTAGTTATTGAATATGTGGCTGATCACACGACGCCCGATGTGCCAGAGGGTACGTCTCGACGAAAAAGGATAGATGATAAGTCACACAACTTGAAAGCTGACACACTGCCTTCCCTTACTGATTGTGGTGGCCAATGACGTCTCATGTAATTTGCTGACACGGTGACATCAGGCAACGGCATAACCTCACACAGCTTTTGGAACTCCGACGTGACGGGGTTCTCGATGGCGGACCACTATGTGAGGGGAAAAGAGCCTGGGGAACCCTGGTGGTAGCCATGAGCAAAGACGGACAACTCATAATATGGATAGTGCTCTAAACTGGCAAATCCCTAGGAGCGGGTGGTATATATACTGGAAATCAGCCCCTGCTCTAGCCCTATCTCATATTCACTATGGTCCTCTTTGCGTTCTGCGGTCACTTTTATACGAACCTTCCAAATATCTGATATGGCTTCCAAATTTGTGGTTCAATGGATCACATCCGATGTCTACTCCTTCGCACTCCCTGTGGCTGATGACCCATTCCGTCATCATGCTGGGGCTAACTCTCACAACCATCATACAATGCACCCATGGGGTGATGAGATTTCTGTCGGTACCAAAGAGTTCGATGCATTATATGCCGAAGGAAACAACAAGTACCTTTACCATCTCTGGTATTCTGATCAGCTGACGCCTTTCATGGCGACTGAAGTCTTGAAAATCGAGACACTCTCAGCCGAGCTCTTGGCTAAACTCGGCTATGTGTTACAAAAGATGCTCAACTCCAATATGAGGACTGCTCTCGGCACGCCAGAAGGGAAGTTCGTTGTTGCCAGTATTCAGTCTATTTTGGACGACGCTACTAAGGTGTGCAAGGACCCTATCTTCATCAGACTCAGTGCGACATCAGCCAAGGACAGCTTCGCAAACGGAGCACCTACTGCCAAGCCGGATCCTCTTCCGCCCACCGCTGAAGTTGTTCTCGGCCGTCTTCTCACAAGTGGTAGGGTTGCTGGCCGACTGCTGGCTCTTGCGGACGGAGTCTGGAGCGAAGACCCAGGTGAGGCCTTGGTAGTTGAGCGATGGTCACCGGAAATCAGGCTTGAACATGAGCTCCGTGTCTTCTGCTACAAGGGGAAAGTCACTGCTGTCAGTCAAGATATTTGGTGGGAAAAGAAAGGATGGCGTGAGCGCTACTCGGATGGCCTCGTGGAAGCCGTGGTTGATGTATGGAATAACGTCAAAGGCCACATTCCCTTTGACACCTGCACCATGGATGTTTTGGTGTCCCCGCCGAGTCAGGATAGTATTAGGTGGGATGCCAAGGTCATCGAGTTCAACGGTTTTGGGCCTCATCTCAATACTGGCAGCGACTTGTTCCACTGGATAACCGACGCTAGTATTTTGCAGGGCGAGAGCGATGAGATCACGGTTCGATTTGTCGATGATTGGGAAAACTCCGAAAGCGACACAGATACCTTAGCTGTAGGAGATCTCACTCTTTCGGATACAACGACGGTGGAAGACAGCGAACCAGATTGGATGATGCTGGAGAAGGAGATTCAGGAAAAGTACGCAGACGACGGTAAGAATGAGGCTAGGCTCGAGCTTCTGGAGAAGAACAAGCTCCCTCTTGGTGGACGCTGGTGTAGTGCTTATTGATTTCTATTTCCTTCCATGCATGCGGAAAGCCAGGTTTCCTGTTATCATATTGAAGACCCAACAACGTCTGTCACCCTAGTCCACCCACCCTTAAATCAAATATTTCATGCAAAGTGAGTGACATAAATATTGACTCTACATGATGGAGGGGGTGGGTAAGCAAGGAGTGAGCAGTAGACCCATGTCACTCACACGTACCGGTACCACAGCACTGAACCAACGCCCAGTTCTGCTACAGGGGGCCTTGGTGCGCCGTACAAGGCTAAGCACAAGGGGTTTCTTGTTGGCATTGTCTATGTATATGACCTTGAAAAATACACCCGAGCCCCTCCTCTGTACCAGCTGCGTATTTTGTTCAATCTTTCAACTGACGGCACTCCATCCGGGCCCGGTGGATACGTACAAAAGCGTTTTAAGGGATCCGACAAACGATCCACTCACATTGAAGTTTTCCAACATTTGCATCAAGTTCCTATGTCTCCGACCTTAATCAACGGAAACCCGTTACCGCAAATATTGTATGGTACGGCAAGAAGACGACACAAACCATGTCCTGATATTGGGACCGCACTCAGCGTGGGATATCGAGGCATCGATACTGCAGCTGGCACTATACATCATGACGAGACACTTGATGGTCAGGCCACATCGGCTTTCCTTCTTGCACAGACAAATGAGCAAGATTCGGTCGGACGAGGTGATCTTTTCCTTCAATCAAAGTACATTCCAACCCCGAAGTCTGCTCATCTGAGGAGTACAGGCCAGGAGCAGCCAAACACTGAGGCACCTGCTATCCTCGCTTTGGAAAGTGTCATGGGAAGCTCGACTCGACTGAAAGTAGATAGCATTGACTGTTACTTCGTCAACGCCTCGAGGACCCCCACTAGAACAATCATGGAAATCTGGCTCGCTCTGGAGCAAGTTGTGGACCGTGGGGGCATCCGATATCTCGGCCTTTCGAACGTCAAGCCGCAAAAACTGCGCTCAGTACTCAAGAACTCGCGTATAAAACCAGCATTTGTGCAGAACTGGTTTCGCAAAGAGACAGGATACGATCATGATGTGGCCGTCATCTGCAAGGAGGAAGGCATTGTCTATCAATTATTTGGCATCTTTGACGCTAGCAATTCATGGCTGTTGGACAGCCTGCCGGTGCAGTACAGGGCCCAGAGAAAGCACATCAGCGCCCACGAAGCTCTACTACAGCAGATGGTCGAAGAAACAACAGCATCCGGCTGGAATATCTGTGTTCTCGATGGCACTACCGACAAGGATCACATGGCTGGAAACCTCGCCGCTGTTGAACAAGCAGACAACCGGAGTGCAGATAAGAGTGGAATACTTCTTGAGCTTATCGGGTGGAAATGACGGCCGAAGATCTGACCAGAAGAGAGGACTGAACCGCAAGACTTTTTCACGCACTTCGCGTACAGCGCACCGGCATCAGCTTCAAATGCTCCATGATATTGTTCGTAGTCACGCCGGTCAATTTTGACGGTCTTGTTCTGTCAACCACTGAACCTTTATTTTGCCCACTTCAATGCAATTTTTCCTTTCCCATGATCCAGGAGAAACTGTGCCGCGACGCGAGCGAAGTTTGTGGCTCCTATCATCAGCGGAAACAGTTGGCTGAAATCAGCACACTGGTGAACACCCGAAATGTTGTTCCAATCCAAAGTCTCTTCCACCGCCGCAATAAACAGTCCAAGCGCAAGCATGCTTCCAAAAAGCTGCCCTGTAGAGATAGTAACATCTACCCGCTGATTCTGGCGAGTCGAATTAGGCGTTGGGTCGTTCACGCCGCCAAAGATACGTTGATTCATGTTGATGTTGTTGTCGAGACTATTGGAAACCCAGCTTATGAGTATTATCGCCTGGGCGACTAGCAAGAGTGTTGACACTAGAAGACCCAAGATGAAGCCTGCGCTGAGGAAGAACCGAAACCACCCAAATAAAGCCACAGACGTGAAGAAGAACGCCCTTTCCTGGCATACGGTGCGCTCGAGCTTCCCAATGCCGATGAACAAAAACCATATGCCGTATGAAGAAATGATAGCGTTGAGAAGCATATCGCCTGCGGTTCGAACACGACGTCGTGGAGGTTCTACGACACCATTTTTCGACAGGACGGTGGAGAAGGCCGATCGATTCTGCAAGGAGGAAATGCAGGCACCAGCAAAACAAAAAAGCAGGGCAATGTAACCTTCAATTGTTTTGAGCCCCTCGCTCGGTCTACTGGTAATGAACATGAAGCCGCATGTCATGGCCAGCTGGTACGTGCTGTTGGCGTCCTGCATCCCTTCGACAGCAGGCTCATAGAAATTCTGAGCCAGTATCGATGTACACCATTGGAGGTAAACGCCGATCCTTACGCCCAAGCCATAGATGTCGCTATTTCCTTCGAAACCGCTTTCGCAGGTCATGTTGTCAGCCGTGTGAAATGCCTTCCAAAGGCCAGTTTGGGGCGGGTGTCGGGATGGAGCTAAAGGGGATATTCAGTGTCACGTTGCTTGCCGCAAAAGAGCGCTGCGTCTGGGCCAAGCACTTATTTATCAGAAGGCAGGCCAGCCGGCCTCGCATATGTGATGCAGGCTGACCACCCGTTCCCGATGAGGGTGACACACCCTCCTGCACTAAGATGGAGCGCAAATCCTTAGAGAGGCAGTATTTCATGCGCCACGTTGCCTTGCCAGCGTATCCCATCATCGAAGTAGTTATATTGGAGAACGCATTTCAAATCCAAGACAGCAACTATATGACGCTTTTGTTTCTCGAAGTGCATATTATCATGCCTCGCACTTCGCTGCTTTAGATCTCATCGCTTTTCTTATATCGAAGTTCTTCGAAGTCTCGATTAAGTCTTGTTTCCAGTTTCTCCGGCCAAACATGATAGCCATTGGTAGCCATGTAGTTCTACACAACATCTCCTATGGAGAATAATGATGAGTTCAATTAGCAGCAACTACTGATATATAGCCACTCCTTTAGCCAAGGTAGTCTCATTAGTTGTTGTGATGAAAATAGACCTTAAGGAACATCAACCTTTTGTAATAATCATTCAAATCCTTTTTAAACCCTCCTACGGTTTTTGTTTTCTTTCACTACCTTACGAAAATTCATATCTTGAAGTCAGGCCATTAGCCTCCTTACACACCCGGAACTCTTGAAACAACCATGCACTGAGACGACGAGGCAACCAATTTTCTCACTGCACTGATGCCTCATTCAGACATCTAACACGCAACCCGGCCTCTTTATCAAGCACCGAGGGCTAATGTCTCTTCTCTAAGAGCGGAAAACCTGGCCCATCAAAGACTAGTATTGAACTTCCATGAAGTCTACCTTGGCTATATAATGCTCCAAGAGTTGTAAAATTCCATCAGGGCGTTGGTTTCTGGTGGAACTGTACGGCAAGCAACGTCGTGAGGACTGTTGGGGGCCATCCAACTCTGGAATTATGCGAACAGTAGCTGGTTGTGTGCTACCTTAGTATGTACTTCTTGGTTGCACACTTGTGTTTGCCCGCTTCACATCCCGGGCGGAAATCGACACCTGATGCAGCCCTGAATGGGAGAGGTTAGCGTCTATCGCATGCGATAACTGCGCCACTGGGCAATGTCGTACGTGCTATGACCATGGCCTCACTCATTGGTATGATCATTCAATATTGTGCTACATGAATTTGGTACGGAACAAGGACTTTGTGCATAGCTGATGACCGCACGTGTGGCTGTAATCGAAGCTATCCCCAGAGAGTAGGGAGCTGTGCGCGTTGATATGGCTATTGTTAATCTGTATCTTCAATCTTCAATCTTAAGTCTCTCGAATTACTGTCACATTCCTTTGGCTACATATGTCTACAATCCAAGCAATGCATTGAGATCAACAACACTAATGCTAACCTGGTTGGTGCTGCTAGGAGGCAATCTTCCACCGCCAATAATAGCCAACTTGCTACCATCATCAAGCACCGCCAGAGCACGAGAGTAAGCATTGGGTTGAGGAACAGCATACTCGACCCAAGCGCTAGCATCACCCAGAGCCCGGTTGACGAAGATGTTCGACTGGCTGCCGCCGCTAAGCACGATGGTACCGTTGACGCCACCGACAGGGGACCAGACAACGTAGGGGGAGCTAACGGGGCGGGTGCCGGAGGTGGAGATAAGCGAGATGCTGGGGGCGGCGAGGATGTTGAGCGGGTCGGCCGTGAGGCGGTAGTGTACGCGGCAGCCATCGGTGCCGCAGACCTCGTAGGCGAAGATGAAGTCGTCGTTGGGCAGCTTAGCGATGACGGGCATGCCAGGGCGTGCCTCGTAGGCGTTGTCATCGTGGACATCGTCGACGATGGCGCTCCAGGTCTTGAGGTCGGTGGTGGTCTGGTGGGACAGCTTCTGGCCGTACTTCGTGTCGCGCTGGTCGGCGTAGTAGATGATGAGCTCGCCGTTGTGGAGCCTGCGTGAGGAGGAAGTGGTTAGCAATTACCCTAAGATGAACGTTTCGTGAAGCTAGACTCAGACTTACAAGAAGTGAGGCTCCCAGACGGGGGTCAGGCCGTTGTTGGGCAGGGCCTCGCCTCCGCTGGCAACACTGCTGAGGAACTCCCAGTTGGCACCGCCATCAGTGCTGACGTAGACATCGATCTTGGTCAAGCTCAGATCCGTCGGGATGCTGTTACCAGCGAGCAAGATAGTGCCGGCGGGATAACCAGCGAACGCCTCCGGAAGCTCGTAGAGGAAGGGCTGGTAGCGCAGACCCCAGCCATTGACGGTGTCCTGAACACGGCCGATCTCAGCCCAGGTGGCTCCGCCGTCTTGAGAGCGGTAGACGGGAAAATAGACGATGGGAGGCTCGGGGGAGTAGTTCTCCCAGGTGGCGATCAGGTCGCCCGAGTCCAGCTGGATGGTGCGAGCGTACAGGACGCGGGGGTCAACCCAGCCAGCGTTTGACGGCGGGGAGAAGATGACATTGTTCGAGATGGTTCCGGTAGCTTGACGGGCCTC